GGAGAAGCACAGCCAGAGCCAAAACTATAAAAACCCTGCTTTTTTGAAAAACCAAATACAGGGAGATTTGTTGCTACAAAGTAATCTGCTTAAAATGCAGGTAGAATAAAAAAGTGTCGTCCTGTAGAAATTCGTACCCAAAGGATTCTAGCACATGCATTGAGGACTCAACCACTAAGTAGTAAGCGGCTTTAAAAAAAGAAATCAATGTATAGTTTTTAACGTCGCTATGATTAAAAAATGTGATTATTTTATTATTTTTTTCAGGGAGGACCGGGATATCATAAATGGACAAAACAAGAGTGTGACGATGCTTTCTATCGTGACATGAAGAAAGCATGCAAGAAAACAAATCGCGGATTTTTAGGGCTGCTGAAAAGAGCGGAGTGCAAATTTTGGGCGTTCCTATATTACAAGGCTGTGTGTTGGTCTCGGACAGCGAAGAAAGCATGGAATACAACTTACTGCAAAGAGGCCTGCCGTCCTTCTGAAGGAGATCCTAACACAATCTTGAGTTAGTGCCTGAGCAGTTGAAAAAAGATTCCGCCTTGGAATTCAAGCTTGTGTAGCTGATATTAGTGAAATCATTATAATCATGAAGAATAAAACTGATTATTTCGCAATCTGAAATATTTGATGTTAAGTTTGAAAAAACACTTCAAGGTCATCTAACATCTCTAATTTCACAGTGGATTGGGTTTTTAGCTCGTTTAGTCCTCTTCCAGGACTTAAATGATATGATTTCAGTCCCTGCACCCGGCCGCCTTCCCTCAAACCCGACGCTGTTTTGTAACAAATGACGATAAGACTAAGAAAGCAGCTAAATACTCGGCACTATTTTTGCTCTGCCTTCAGCGCTTTGTGTAAAACCGGTGCCTCGGGAAGATTATCTGCAAGCCGCCAGCGAGGAACGAATCGCGAAACTGAACCGTTGCAGGAAACTAAAATAAAAATCCTCCATAAAGTTGAGGTCAAAAAGAAGCCAGGTTGAAAGGTATTCGAAACGAATCTGAAAGGGAACCGGAATCGAAAAGTCGGGCGCCCGAATTAGTCTTCCCCAACCATGGCTTTTCTCTCCCTCTCTTAGGCATTTCTGGCTTTTCCAGTTCTCTGGATGACTCATGACAAAGACTTTTCGCGTCCGTGATAGACAAAGAAAAACTGAGATAAATTTTCATTTACGACATCCTTTAGCTCGCTTAACCCTTTAAGCTCCAAGATCCACACGCATACTCTCGTCACTGTTTTCTAAACATTCCTTACGGTACTGCTGGAGAGAAATTGTTCAAACATTGAGACATTTCACCTTAATGATCATTTTATTCATTCTAATGACCTGCATATTAATTGATCAGGCAGTGTTATTATTAGGAGAAATTGGATGCTGGTCACAGGCAAAAAAGCTAAGCTTATTCTACAGGCTAGCTAGAACAAAGTAGACAATAGATGGGCCCTCGTCTTCTCCATTTGTGACAGTCATATTATATAATGGCTATAATAGTTAAACCTGACCTAAGGTTCCCAATCATCACTTTCTCCTGAATGCATGGTCTCTGAACGATCAGTCTTGGGTGGGGCAGGAATCATTGCCGACACCTTGTCCATAGCTGATCCTCCACCCGATGCTGCCTCTGATGAGCCTCCTGAGTCACCTTTAGATCCTGAAATTCCTTTACGACGCATGGATAGCTTTGCGAAAAGGTCACCCATAAGGTCACCACCACCTCCACCACTCACTGCAGACTGCTCCTTCTCGGCTTTTTTCTTCAACTTCCTTTCTTTGACACTGCGTAATTTAGCATTCCCCTTGCCACCAGCTTTACGGATGGATTCCATGAGGTTTGCCCTGCCATCTGATGCAACTGCTGCAGGGACATCCGACGGGACGGCTGCAAATTTAAATGAGTAATCAATTTAAACTTTTTCACTGACAAAACTAAGGTCCTCTCTAATAACACATGCTGAGATCTATATGTTACAACTAAATCAGTGGTAATCAGGTGTCAGTAATATACATTCAAGGGTAGAATTGAGGTGGCAGATAAATGTCACAAAGAGGAGAACTTTGTAGTATTCAGTGAACTATGAACAAATGGAGCAGAGATGGGTTTAATGGTAAGAGTGGAATTCTAATATAACAAAACTGAAGTACGTGTAACAACGTTCTGCTTTTTACAGCTACATATATTTTTGAACACTAAGGTGGAATAACAATTTTTTGAACCTCTAAGGAAAATGAAAATTGGTTCGAAAAAATGATGATGGCATCAAAACACAATGGTATTAGAGGTAATGCACCTATCAATGTAATGCCAGCGGGGGTTGGGGAGGCAGGGCATGGGGTGGGGATTTGACTTTTTTCAAAAATTTGCAGTCAAATTCCCTGCCCACGGGCAAATCATTCCAGTCAAATGCAACAAATTTCCCCCACCCCAGGCTGCACATTGCTGTCAATCCCAAGGCAGAACCCAAGAAAGGCAGAATAAAAATATCTCCTAATAAAACTCTGCAATCTTTTATAAACGTTGCTGCATCACCAAAGATACATGTTCCTAATACAGCTGCAATTATACGTTTTAACCATAATCCGTGTTGCACTGCGTAGAATACATAAACCTTTATGAGAAAGTCCACATTTTGCAAGTTTAAATATACCATTCTTAGTAAAGGGTACAAAGAAAGTCAGTTTTATAAGTTTACTGTGATTGTAGCGAATGAGCCATACACTAATCAACTGTACTTGCAAAAATCGACTTGGTCTCTCTTTACTTCCATTTACATTGATACCACAGTATTTTAAGAGATTCAACTGATCAGAAACACGCTAAAACAGGGGGACGTCTGTACACAGGCTATTTCTCATTGGCCTCCATGACTTCCTGATCTTTTCAAACCATACGGCACATGCGTGAAGCGTGGAAATATATGTTCAGTCTTTTTCGTCCGAGTCGGCAGTCAAATATCTCCACATCGGGCGAAGAAAGATTCAAATACCCCCTCCCCTGGGACAACAAGATCAGTCAAATGCCCTACCCCAGGGCCAACAAAGACAATCAAATCCCCACCCCATGCCCTGCCCCCCCCCCCGGCTTTACATTGATAGGTGCATAAAATACGGTACAAAGTTGCTCTTACTAGCACATTCCAATATTTAATTTTACAACCCCCTCCAAAAAAACGAAAACAAAACAGCTTTTGAAATCTAAACAAACTCTTACAAGTGCACAAAATGGCTGGTAATCCAGCCAGGAACTGCAACTTACCTGGAGGTGGTCCATCACCTGGTGGGGGAGGAGGTGGGGGAGGAGGTGGGGGAGGAGGAGGAGGAGCAGCATCAGGTCCTGAGGGAGGAGGTGGGGGTGGTGGAGGGGGTGGGGGTGGAGCACCTGGTCCTGGAGGTGGAGGAGGGGGTGGAGGAGCAGAATCAGGTGCTGGCGGAGGTGGTACTGGTACTGTGTCACCCCTAACTTCTTCTACAACATCAGGTAAGTCAGGTATGCTGGAACTAGGAAGTGATGGTGCAATTGAAGGACCAAGATCTGCACTGAAAATGAAAAATTTGAAAATAATATTGAAAATTGTTCACTTAGAAATCAGCACTAATCACAACCTAATTACCAGAGTATTTTCTACTAGATGGGAAGATGAGATATGTCAATTTTGTTCTTTCACCAGAAATGATGGTAAAAACCAGCAATAATTGCCGGTGTTCACTGTAATGTTATTAACGCATACATATACTACTTCAACCTTATTTAGGCACGTTGGTAATTAATCAGTGTATGTTTTATTTACACCATTTTTTAAGTTAATTATTTTTATTGTGCATTTGATTATATTCATTAGATATTTGCACACTAAATTTTTAAATTATTGTTATTATTATTATTATTATTATTATTAATGTCATCAAAAATAAAAATCAAAACTGTTTAGTAACAATAATTATTGTACAATGGAACCTTGATATAATGAAGGGCCAAGGGACTGGCAAAATCTGTTCGCTATACTGAGGACTTTGTTATATAGAGGTTTGTTATATCAAGGTTCCACTGTAATCTCCTTACCTGTAAGAAACATCATCAGCAATTCCTGGTAGATCTGGTAAATATGCAGGAACATCTATCTCGGGAACATCCCCCAGATTTGGCACATAAAAATAGTTTTGCATTGACAGCCGGTCCAACGCCTCTCCTTGAGTGATTGATATGGGGGCAGCACCAATGTCTTCCTCTTCCTCCTCTAAATTACTCCTGGTCTTCGTTACAGCCCCAGCGAGGGGATCCAACATCACATATTTCTTGTAAGGATTTTCTGTGGTGTTGAACAGTAACAGAGAACTAACTGAGTGCAGATTCCTTGGCAGTGATCCAAGTCCTTCCCCTTTCATTTCATCTTGCTTCTTTTTGATATTCAGGTGAACATTATAAAACTGCAGTTTATCCTTCAGGGTGTGTTCATCTACGGGGGTGAACTTCGAGATAAGATCGTAACTTTGACGTTTCAACTCTGCCAGTTCGTTTTGCTCAGAGTACAGCGTCTCATAGGGCTGCAGTTTGTCCGGGGCTGGATATTTTGCGCTTGAAAAGACCCTGGTCGCTTTCTTGATTCCTTTTATTTTGTCAATCCGAGCCTGAGCTAAATCTGCCCTGTGGTTAATTGCGGCTAGCCGTTCCTTATTTTCGGCAACTCGATTGCTGATTCGAGTGAAAATATCCTTTGATACTTGCTCCAAATATTCCAACGAGTCTACTATCTGGTTGATCGATTCTTCTCTTCGGAGACTAGGTAAAACTAGTGGTACGCTGTACGTCTGAACAGGCATAGTGTACAGTTTTGAACAGGGAAGAAGGTCACAAACAGTTCATGCAATACTGATCCGCCGAACCGCCATCTTGAGTCACGAGATTTGGACGTGGGAAACCTGGAAAAGAGTAAATGCCTCGGAAGCCCCCCCCCCCACCACCCCTCCGTTTACACAGGCTATCCCGTGGGCCCTTTTCGAGGGGGACATTGGGGGGTACCCAATACCGCAATACCGTAAGAAAAAATGGCAAATACCGAAATACCGCGTCGAAAATCGTCTAAATACCGATACCGTATATTTTAATCACATTTATAATCGGTTGCGCATACTTATGGTTGCTTCCATCCAGCGCGTTTAATTATCTCAGGGATTTATGCACCAGATGTCCATGTTTTTTTTAATATTTTGGTAGTTCGCAATTTTCCGCAAATTTTTACTGAAAAGTAAACTACATTCGTTCAGCTTTTGGTATTTCGACAGCTAATTAACTCCAATAAAAATAACTCTTGAAAGCGCGAAAAACAAACCAACCAAAACCCTTTCCACGCACGTCTAGTGCGAGTTTTGATATAAAGTGAGTCTAGTCTAGCACGTCAGTCTCTGATCAGGGGTCAGATCACACGCCGCGCCATCCTCGGAGACCCAGGGGCAGATAGTGGGGACGAGGGAAAGTCTAAACGGGCGGAAAAATATATAATAAATAATAATAATGTTTATTTCTTATATTGCGCAGTCTAGCATGCGATAAAGATATGATCGAATGCGCATTACAACACTAAAATCCTAAAGTAATAAATGGCTAATCCAAATAATGATAATAATAATAATAATAATTTACAATTTTCGGAAAACAATAAAAAGTAAAATATGAGTTAATAAAAGAACTAATAAAAAGCTAATTTAAAAAGATGTGTCTTTAGTAAAACTTTAAAAATGTTCAATGATTGACATTGTCTAATTTGTATATGGAACGAAGAAAAGTAAAGAAAGGCGAGAAGAGCCCCTGGGGACAATGTCTTACCAGACCAGTTCCAAACGGTCGCCGCCGTTTTGGCCTCTGATTGGTGCCAGAAAAACACAAGTTTTCTGGCACCAATCAGAAGCCAGAACGGCGGCGACCGTTTGGAACTGGTCTGGTAAGACAATGGGCGCGATCCATTCAACCAAAATTCCGGAAATTTCGGTCCAAAACTCAATGGATCGGTTCGGTCCAACCGGAAAAGTTTCGAAAAAACGGGTCCACCTTTTGAGGTGGTCCACTTTTCCCGGTCGGACCGGTTGGAATTTTGGGTGAATGGATCGCGCCCATTGTCCCAGGGGCTCTTCTCTCTCCGTTCGTTACTTTTCTTCGTTCCATATATATTTTTCCTCCCGTTTAGACTTTCCCTCGCCCCTTTATCTACCCCTGGGTCTCCGAGGATGACGCCGCGCTGTTAAGAGGCAAACTTACCAAATTTTCGCTTTTAACTTTACAAGGCGTTTTTCAATTCTCGAAACCCAACATCTAAACTTATTCTTGTTGCGATAATGTTCGCCTCCTTCGCCCTCTTCATACAAAATTGCCACACAGTCAATGATGACCACGCCGTCTTCAACCTCAGCGACCTCAGACATTGTGAGAAAACGTTTAAGACCTCGAATTAGCGGCACAGGTACACAGACAAGCCTGGTAAGGTAACTTGAGACGACTCATTATCATTGGATGCAACAGCAATCACATTGTCTATTATCGACCATTAACTGTCACAAAATGACCCACAAATGGTGTAATCATTTACCGTTATGTCTCAAGACTTCTAAATATTAACTTTTATTGACCTTTATGTCTTACTGTGTTTTGTTTTGCGTATTGTATCGAAAGGAAAGCGCAAATAAACGATACCGTAATACCGTGAACAATCTTATTTCACCGAATACCGTCAGCCAAAATGATGAAAACCGCATACCGCAGAGCTAGATGATACCGCAATACCGCACGTTAAAATTAAAATTACCGAAATACCGCATGAAAAAAAGCCCAATACCGCAATACCGTAAACCCCCATGTCCCCCTCCTTTTCAGAATACGTACGGTCACATGGTACAAAAAAATACCTTGCTGGATGGCAAAGGACTTAGTGTGTCCTTGAAAACAAAGGATTTTAGCTTTTTGAATGATGTTATCTCTTTGTTTTTCTTGCCCCTCTGCATCACTTGCCATCCAGCTTGGCGATTTTTGCATCATGTGACCTTATTCTGCAAGTGCTCTCATTTAGAGAGAAAAATTAACCAGGCACCACCGAGAGACTTTGATCAAAAATGACATTAAAAGTGGTAGGTTCAATGGAGGGAAAATTTTAGCCTTGTTTCTTTGGTTCACTCTGTAACTAGAAAGAGTTCTCATTTATCTGCCCCTGTTTTTCGAAAATATTACTCTTTTCTTAAAAAAGTAGATTATTAAATGTAGCTTGTTATGCTCACAGCACGTGACCTTTGTTTGTGCTTTTCATTCATCAAAGATATCTTTTGAGTGATAAATTAAACTCAACGATGACACGTTAAAAGTCTTTGTGCGCATGCAACAACAACACAATTTTACAGTTGGTTTTAGGGAATTTTAGCATTGTTTTTCTCAAGAAAACTTGCAGTTCAAGGGAGAATATCTTTCCTTACAGTCAGATTTTTTTTTTAATGCAAAGGTCATTCCATAGTACTGATAGTTCAATCCTTCAAATAAAAATATGGAATGGAAAAAAACTCACACACTGAGATAAATATAGACAATCTTAGTTTATTTATGTCAAACAATAAAGTTTGTTGAAAATGTGCTGATCCCTTTAACTTTGTTTTTTTTTTTACCTGAGTCTCTGATCTGTTTGTTTGTAGAAGATAATTGGATCATTTCTGCCAAACTGCCCTTTTCTTTGCTGCATGTCTCATTTTCTGGATGAGCAAAGGCTGAGCCAAGTCATCTAACTAAACTTAAAAGATCAAGCAAGGGCTGCATTTCATAAAAAAGTAGAAAAGGGTAAAGAGTCTTTTTTATTTTAGTGGGTCGAAATTGTAACAAACCTGAGATCAATGGTGCCCTCATTTTACTCCCCCTGCCCCTCTGTCAATCAGTGCTCAATTTTATGGGTATTTAAAGCTACTTACAATGTACAGCTACACGGAAAGGAAAGAGGTGAAAAGAAGGATTTGTGGTCACACTAGGGAATCAAACTCAAGACCTCCCATACATAAGGCAGTGAACTAACTAACTGTGTTACTCCTTCCTCCTTAAAATTTCCATTGGCGTGATCCAGATTAGGATCAGTAAACCCAGAACATTCAGATCAAAGCACATCAAAGGAATAAAAAAAAATACTCTGGGAAAGGATTCGTTGGTTCACTTGATACATCATGATTTGAGTGATCGTCACGGGTCACTGATTCTGATCCGGACCATCAAAATGGAGTGCACCCTTAGATAAGGATGCAAAGCTATAAGCAAGCAAAATTTGAGCACTGATGTCCAAGGAAATGCTGATTAAGCTGATTTTCTGATTAAGTTCCTTCATAAGTTGCTTTTCCTCCAACTTCATTTTACACTGCTTCTTCCTGTAATAGCTTTCTAGCACTAGAAAATCACAAACATTTTTAAAATGACACCAAAATCGGAAACAAAAACAGTTTACCCAAGTTAGCTTTGCCCTAAAGGGCATAATGCATTTCTGACATTGGGCCAAATTAAAAAGGGGAAACAAACCCCTGCACACAATGTTGTGCCACCATTCAAGCTAAATATAGTAAACAACAAGTTCACTTTAACTTTGAGTGAAAGGGAGGGCAAATGAGGGTGGATTGTTTAGTTCTCGAAGTTACCCCATTTGACAAAAGTGTCTCAACTATTTTGTCAATGATTGCGGCTTAAGTTGAAAAAGTGAAATTTTATTTTCCATTTAGGACACATCAGCACAGATTTTGTACCTGTGGCAACAGGAAAATGGTTGACCATGTGATCACATGTGAGACCATTTTGTCTGAGGTTATGACATGCTTATGTCTCCTAATGAGGTCCAAACAGTTGTCTGTGCAGCCATTACTGAGGTGAAATGGTAGACTTTCTGAATTCAAGTCCTTTGCAGTCTGGCAGACTTGTTCGCACTTTTTTGTGTCCCTTTGTCAACTTCTGTAGCTCAAGTTGAGGGCAAGTCATCATTAGTGAAGACTTGAAGACCTGTCCTTATCACAGGCCTACCACATCCATGCATAAGTATGGTAAGGTACATGGTTTGGGCAGATTGTAAGCTTGATGTTTTGGCTGAATTCTGGTCCAGCTATTAGGCACTTTGACATGTTTTCTCATTTTACTATCATTCCTACTGACTAAAGCAAATATTATTTTGAATTTCCTGAGACAGCTCCCGCTCCGAACTTAAGTTCTCGTTCAAACTGTTCCGCATTAAGAGTTCCATCAATAGCTTCACAGTTTTCATTAAACACAGAATAAGGACTGGGTTCCCAAGGCTTCCTTGATCCTGCTTGCATACTTACATACACCCAATAAAACATTGAAAGGATAAAAAACACGGTTCCAAACTCAATTTGAACGAAGAAACCCCAGAGTACTAACCAGAAGAGAAGTTTTAAGAATAATATCAACCAGTGTAAACTACGTTCATTTTGTTCTGTCACAAAATTGCTGAAAATCTTTGTCCCAAATGAAAACGTAGGTCTCCGTACACTCCATCTGCTCTCTTTGTATTCTTTAGCTTTCTGAGCACGGTACTTTTGCAATTCCTTCTCCATAAATGTCAAGATAACGGCGAAAATCTTCAACTAACCTTTGCCTGCGTGTCATCCGCCATTTTAAAAATTGTTTTTGTTTTGGAGGGAGGGCTGGGGAGTAATCTTTTTCACCGCTGCTCAAACAGAACTCAGGCACATTGATTGCGTAAAAGTGAATTTCCAGGCACGAGACCCGATTTTAGAACGCCGATTACCATTGGTCGAGTCACGAAAGGCAGCGAAATTTTTGAAAAATAAACCAATCAGAATAATTTTAAGAAAGTACACCATGTTGCATAATTTTCGTTCCCAGACTCCTGATTTTGGATCTCACTTTATAATGGCGGGCGGTTAGATAGTGAATGCATGTGCTAAGGTCCATCGAGAAATCACTATCACGGTCTATAAGAGTTTCATTTCAGGCTATAAACAATAGCATTTCTT